TCGGTGGCAGGCGCGGCGGGGAAGCGCCATTCGGCTAATTGGAGCGGCGCTCCCGGCCCGGAGCCTCCCGGAGCCGCCCGACAGCGGCCGGGCCCCCTCCCCCGAGCCGAGCCCCCTCCCCCGAGCCGAGCCCCCCTCCCCCGAGCCGAGCCCCCCTCCCCCGAGCCGAGCCCCCCTCCCCCGAGCCGAGCCCCACAGGAAGCCCGGAGCCTCCTGGCCCCGGATCCGACCCTCCCCATAGATTCCAGCTGTGCCCCGATTCCATCCTCCCCATGGATTCCAGCTGTGCCCCGATTCCATCTTCCCATGGATTCCAGCTGTTCCCCTGGTTAGATCTTCCCCCTGGATTCCAGCTGTGCCCTGATTCCATCTTCCCCCTGGATTCCAGCTGTTCCCCGGTTAGATCTTCCCCCTGGATTCCAGCTGTGCCCCGGGTCAAATCCATCCCCTGGATCCCACCTGTGCCCTGTGGATCCCACCCACCTGCTGGATCCAACTGTACCCCAGATCCCCCCTGTACCCCCGGATCCCCCCTGCCGCTGGATCCCCCCTGTACCCCCAGATCCCCCCTGTACCCCCGGATCCCCCCTGCCCCTCGATCCCACCCATCTGCTGGATCTGATTCTCCCCCTGGATCCCTGATCCCCCCCGGGTTCCACTCATCCCTGGGGTCCCACCCTCTCCCCGATCCCATTTCCCCACCCTTGGGAGCTGAAATTCCTGCTGGGTGCTGTCCTCTGCTGGGTGCTGCGCTTGCAGCCCCCTCCCACCATTTCTCAGGGATTTTTTGGGGCTCCCCAGCCCCCCCCAGACACCTGCGGGGGCTGAGCCCCCCTGGCAGCCGAGGCGTGCAGGGCTGGGGGGGCCTGGGGGGATCCGGGGGAGGATCTGCAGGGAGAAGGGAACTGGGGGGGCCCTGCCAGAAGTGGGGTCACCCCCGGGATTTGGGGGTGGGGGCGGACCCGCTGCCGCCCATCCCGGGGGAGCCGCACCGGGAGCTCGGCGGCTGCCATTGATTTCTTATTATGGAGTTCAGGAAGAAAAATGAGGCGCTGGGGCTGCGGAGCCGCCGCGGTGATTTGTGGCCTCCTCGGCGCGTCCTGGCGGGGATGGGAATTGATTTTGGAGGCTCCGGAATCAGTCAGCGGGGCCGGGGAGGGGGAGATGGGGGGTGGGGAGGGGAGAGCTGCGGGGGGCTCGGCGCGACCCCCGGGCTGTGGGAGGTGGGACCCCCCAGACCTGCTCCTGGTGGTCCCCACGCTGTGCTGGGGGTGACAGATTCCGTGGGGAGGGGGACACGCGTCCCTTGGGGTTTGGGGTCCCTGCTCCACTGCTGGGGGTCCCGGGGCCGCGCTGAGCTGGGCCTGAGCGGCTCATGGAGGGGGGACGGGGCTGAGGGAACTCCTGGTTCCTGCGGCAGCTGCAGGAGCAGCAGGAGAAAAAAGAGAAGGAATGAAGGAGGAGAAGGAGGAGAAGGAGAAGGAGAAGGAGAAGGAGAAGGAGAAGGAGAAGGAGAAGGAGAAGGAGAAGGAGAAGGAGAAGGAGAAGGAGAAGGAGAAGGAGAAGGAGAAGGAGAAGGAGAAGGAGAAGGAGAAGGAGGAGGAGAAGGAGAAGGAGGAGAAGAAGGAGGAGAAGGCGAAAGAGGAGAAAGAGGAGAAGGAAAAGGAGGAGAAGGAGAAAGAGGAGAAGGAGGAGGAGAAAGGAGGAGAAGGAAAAGGAGGAGGAAAAGGAGGAGAAGAAGGAGGAGAAGGAGGAGAAGGCGAAAGAGGAGAAAGAGGAGAAGGAGGAGGAGGAGGAGGAGGAGGAGGAGGAGGAGGAGGAGGAGGAGAGTGCCGAGTGCCCCCGCAGCCCCTTCCCGGTGCCCGTCCGGTGCCGGTGCCCCGGGGCCGAGCCCGCCGCCGCCACCAGAGGGCACCACAGGCCTCCCGCTGGCCCCGGCGGCACCGGGCGGGACCGGGCGGCACCGGGCGGGACCGGGGGGGAACCGGGCGGCATGCGTGTCCCAGGTGTGTGCGTGCATGTCCCAGCCGTTTGTGCGTGTCCCAAGTGTGTGTGTACATGTCCCAGGTGTGTGTGTGCGTGTCCCAGGTGTGTGTACATGTCCCAGATGTGTGTGTGTGCGTGTCCCGTGTGTGTGTGTGTGCGTGTCCCAGCCGTGTGTGTGTGCGTGTCCCAGGTGTGTGTGTTTCCCAGCCACGTGTTCGTGTCCCAGCTATGTGCCTGACATGTGTGTGCATGTCCCAACCATGTGGACGTCTAATGTGTGCCTGTGCACGCATGTGCCAGCCGTGTGTGTCCACACGTGTGGTCCCAGCCATGTCCCTGCCATGTCCCAGGCGTGTGTCCCTGCCATGTGTATCCATGTCCCAGCCATGTCCCTGCCATGTCCCAGGCGTGTGTCCCTGCCATGTGTGTCTCTGTCCCAGCTGTGTGCGTGTCCCTGCCTGTGCACAGCTGTCCCAGCCATGTGTATCCATGTCCCAGCCATGTGTGTCCATGTCCCAGCCGTGTGTGTCCATGTCCCAGCCACGTCCCAGCCATGTGTGTACATGTCCCAGCCATGTGTGTCCATGTCCCAGCCATGTCCCAGCCATGTCCCAGCCATGTCTCTGTGGATTTGGGGGGCTCTGTGGATTTGGGGGGGCTCTGTGGATTTGGGGGGGCTCTGTGGGGCTCTGTGGATTTGGGGGGGCCCTGTGGATTTGGGGGGGCTCTGTGGATTTGGGGGGGCTCTGTGGATTTGGGGGGGGCTCTGTGGATTTTGGGGGGCTCTGTGGATTTGGGGGGTCTCTGTGGATTTGGGGGGGCCCTGTGGAGTTGGGGGGGCTCTGTGGGGCTCTGTGGAGTTGGGGGGGCTCTGGGGGTCTCTGTGGATTTGGGGGGCTCACTGCCCAGGCCGGGAGCCGCGGGAAGGCCGCGCTCAGGTGCAGGAGGCACGTTCAGGCGCAGCCGCAGCATCCCCCGTTAATGAAGCACTCCCGTTAATGAAGCACTTCATCACGGCGCCGTGCCGGGGGGGCCCCAATTCCGGCTGATAAATTCCCCCCGCCGGCCTCAGCAGCCGTCATCCTCCTTCATCTTGAATCATATTTTCGGAGCGGCTGTAAAATCACCCAACGCGGCGGCTGCCAGCGGAACCGCGGCCCCAAACCCCCCCCAGACCCCCCAGACCCCCCCAGACCCCCCCAGACCCCTCTGTGTGTGTGGGGTTCACACCTGTGGCCCTATAGATGCCAGCCAGGCCTCGGGGTGCCCCCCAAGCTCCTGGCAGCTCCCTCGATCCCTGATTTTTGTGCTTGTGCTCCTCCTTGTCCCACCCACATCTCCTGAGTCCTGCCCTGGGTCTCTGAATTTTGGGGTGAGGGTCCCACCCAAACCCTTGGGTACCCCCCTGGATCCCTGAATTTTGGAGTGAAGGTTTAGCCAGGCCCCCTAGAGCCTCCTCTAAACTCCTGGATTTTGGGGTGAGGGTCCCACCTAGACCCCTCCCAGACAGCTGGTTCCCCTGGACCCCTGAATTTTGGGGAGAGGGTTCCCCCCACACCCGTGAGTCCCCCCAGACCCCTGAATTTTGGGATGAGGGTTCCCCCCACACCCATGAGTCCCCCCAGACCCCTGAATTTTGGGCAGAGGGTTCCCCCCACACCCGTGAGTCCCCCCAGACCCCTGAATTTTGGGATGAGGGTTTCCCCCACACCCGTGAGTCCCCCCAGACCCCTGAATTTTGGGGTGAGGATTCCTTCCCGGACCCCTGGGTCCCCCCAGATGGGTTCCCGTGCATTGAATGGGAGCCCTGATGTGGGTGGTGGAGCTGCCCAGATGTGCACATCTGTGTAGCACCCAGATGTTCCCACACGTTCACATGTCCCAGGTTTCTTTCTGGGAATATGGGAAAGTTCTTCCCCCAAAATCCTGACCCCAAACTCCCCGTGTGCCACGCTGGAGGAGAAGCTCCCGTGGCACCTCTGGTGCTTATGGTGCCACTCTCGGGGGGCCGGTGCCCACCTTGGAGCCCCCCAGGTCCCCATCCCGGCTGCTCCCGAGGCCTCCCGGCACCCCCACGGAACAGGGAAGCACCGCACGGAATGAAACTCTTAATTACAGCCATTAATGAGCCCTGCGGGGCTCCTGGGCAGGGAGGGAATCCCGCGGCATCCCAGGGGAGCTCCTGCGGGGATTGGGGGTCCCAAAGTGGCAGGACCGGGGTCCCCAGAGCCTCTGGAGCCGCTGCTGTGGTGCTGGCTCGGTGTCCCACCCCTCACACAGATACACAGACCCCACGGACCCCCCATGCCCCCCTCTCTGTGCCCCCCGTGCCCCCCTGGCTGCCCTGGGCACAGGAAGGTGACAAAGGACACGCGGCCGTGCCCAGGGCAGGATGTTCATCCCAAATCTCGAATTTTGTCACTCGGGGCCTCGGATGCGCCTCAGCCTTCTCCTGTACCCACGGCCCCCCGAGAAATTCCTCCTCTTCCTCCCTCGGACTTGGCTGGGAGCAAAAAGAGGGGGTGGCACCGTGGGGGGGTGGGAGAGGGGAGAACTCGGGGGCGTTGGGGGCTCACGGGCTGTGCCGGCACTCATTGATGCCAGAGCATGACCAGCCCCCCCTGGCCGAGCCTGGGGGTCCCCAGCCCGGCCGGGTCCATCCCGCCGCCCTCTCCTTCCCTCTCGCGGCCCTTTGTTGGGCGTTCATCGCCGCTTTCCATATGCACGGCAGCATCTGCTCCTGCCGGGGAGATTTGCATCGCTAAATGTAAATCGGGTGTTCCATCATTTATCATAACCGGGAGGGCGCGGAGGGGGCGGCCGAGTGTCAGCGGCAATCGCGGGGCTCGTCCTTCGCCCCCACGGAGCTCTGGGGGTCCCCGCGTGGGGAGGGACAGCGGCCCGCGTGGGGACACCGCGTTTCTCTCAGCAGCCCCCCCAAACAGCGAGGTCACCCCCGAGCGGAGCGGGGCGAGGCTGGAAGGGGCGGTGGGAGATGGATTTGGTGTCCAGCCTTCCTCGGCCTCCCCTCCCCGGCCGTGTCCCCGGGCCGGGATGTCCCGACCCGCCCCGTCCCTCCCAGCCCGGCTTCCATCGCCTCCTGCCCACCCCTCCAGCCTCGGCCGGACCTCGGAACGCGCCGCCAGCGCCGGAGCGATCCCAGCCCGGCCATGAAGGGTCCCCTGCGTGGAGGGATGTTCTCCCGGCATGTCAAACGGCACCCCGGAGTGAGTCCCCCCCACCCCGCTTCCTCCAGGGACCCCATCCCTCCCTGCCCGCTCCCCCTCCTCCCAGGGACCCCGCAGAGCCCCCGGCCTTCCTCACATCCTCCTCCCTCCATCCCATCACCCCACTCCCCATCCCTCCTGTTGTGTCCTTCCTCAGCCTCCTCTTCCTCCCACTGCCCCAAAAATCCTCCTCAGCCCCCCAGCCCCGCTGTGCCCCCGCTCTCCCTGCCCCATCCAGCAGCGCCAGGGCTCCTGAGGGTCCCCATCCCTCCTTCAGCGAGGGAAGGTGAGACCACCCCCTGCTTCCCACCCCATTCCCTCCCCCCAGCGCTGCTGAGGGGCTCCTTCAGCGAGCCCGGCTGGGCCACCCCAACTCTTACCCACCCCCCGAGAGGCAGAGGTGGGTGAGGGCACCTTCCCCGTGTGCCTCCCCGCCCTGTCTGGGGACATCTTTGTCCGGGAGGATGGAAATGAAACCCCCTCCCCACCCACCCCAGCAGCCCCAGATCAGTCCCTGTCACCCCTCAAAATATCAAACTGAGGGGTTTGGCTAAAAAAATGCTTTATCCCTGGGCTGGGCACTGCTGGGGGGTGCCAGCAGCGTGGGCACGGGTAGCTGGCACCCCAGGGTGCTCCCCACGCCCTCGGATGGGCAGCACAGGCTGAGGCTCCTGCGGGACCCTCGCTGCAGAACTTTGGGGAGCTTTGGGCTGGGTTTGCTCCCCGGTCAGTCCCCGTCAGTGACTTGGGGGGCACAAAGAAGACCCCAAACTGGGGGTGTAAAGCCATGGGGGGGTGCTGGGTGTTTGTACACAGCGGGGCTGTTGCTGGGGCAGTTTCTGTGGTGTCACCTGCTGACGTTCCCCCCTCTCACAGCCCCTGAATTATCAGGCTAGCCCAGAGATCCGAGGCTTTGAGGGGAGGAATATCAGGAGATGGCAACGATTTCCAAAAGAGGTTTTTAGCCCGAGATTGTTGGTTCAGCTCTCTTTATTCTGTGATGTCCATGTGGAGAGCGGGGCAAAGAGCACGAACAGGAAATGTCAGGGGTCTGTATAGACTTTGGACAGGGTGGGCTTCCCTGGCTCTCTGCCAACCCTATTGGGGCAGAAAGGAGGGTCACAGGGTCCTGGGGAAGGGGCACAGAGTGCCCATGAGCTCAGTGTAATAACCTGCTCCGTCTGTCTGTCCGTCCGTCCGCAGTGATGGATGCCCGGCCGTGGGGCTCAGCAGCGCTGGCAGGAGCAGAACCCGCTGGCACGGCTCGCTGGGCACCGAGCGGGCACCGGGCAGAGCCTGGCACAGCGCCCCGCCGCCCCCGCCCCCCGCGCCGGGGGGAAATCGGGTTCCACCGCTGGCACCTGCGGCTTGGCAGCCTCATCGTGGCCCTAATTCTTCCCAGTCATTAATTACCCAGGCGGTGTCGGCAGCAGATGGTGAGACGGCCCCGCTGCCCCGAATCCTCCCCGGCAATTCCCGGCGCTGCGGCGAGTTCTCGGTTCGCCAGCGCTGGGCAGCGGCTGCTGCCAGCTCCTGTGCCGCTCGGTGCCAAGGGGCATCATCCGCCGCTGCCCTGAGCCCTGGCATGGGCGCTGGCATCCGCGCCGCTCGTCATTCCAGTGCCTTGGGCCATACTGGGAGCGCTGGGAGAGGCTGGGCAGGGGGACACATCCCTGTCCCCCCTTTCCCCACGCGTGGCTGTTGAACAGATGGGTCGGGCTGACCCTTTCCATCTCTTTTCCAACCGTGCCCCCCCCTCCCTCTCACCCCAGCCCGGTGTCATCGCAGTGGGGAAACTGAGTCACGGAGCGGTGGGTTCGGGGGTCTGGGGGCATTTCCCTTGTGCCGAGAAGAAGACGCGGCTCCGCCGGTACCGAGCCGGCGGCAGCGCTGCCGGTAATGGCGGGACTGGCTCCGTCCCCCGGGGCTCCGCCGCTGCCGCCGCTCTCATTCCGCGGCAATCGGGGGAGGTCAGAACCGCCTCGCCTCGGCTGCGATCGCGGCCGCCTCGCTCCGGGCACCGGGGGATTGGCAGCGGAGAGGAGGAGATGGAGCCGAGGAGCGGCGGGAGCCACCCCGCACCGAGCGGGGGGTGAGGGGTCTCTGCTGGGGTTGGGGTCTCTGAGTGCCCCCACACCCGCTTTGGAGCCCTGGATGCTCAGCCCCAGCGCGTCCCAGTCCATCCCAGTAAAACCAGCAGAGCCTCCTTGTGCGGAGCTCCATCAGGAGATGCTGCAGAGCCTGGGGGGCTGTGGGGGGACAGGGACCCTGTCCGGGGTCACAGCTCGGGACAGACCGTGCCCAGGGCTGAGTATTTCAGGGAGAAACCACCAGCCAAGGCTCAGCCCTGAGGGGAGTCACTGGGAGCACTGGGAACACTGGGAATGGGGTGCTCAGGACCAAATCCTTTAGGGAGGAGCCATAAACTGGGGCTGAGCCCTGAGCAGAGTCACTGGGAGCACTGGGAACACTGGGAATGGGGTGATCAGGACCAAATCCTTTAGGGAGGAGCCCTAAACTGGGGCTCAGTCACTGGGAGCACTGGGAGCACTGGGAATGGGGTGCTCAGGACCAAATCCTTTAGGGAGGAGCCCTAAACTGGGGCTCAGTTACTGGGAGCACTGGGAACACTGGGAATGGGGTGCTCAGGACCAAATCCTTCAGGGGGGAGCCATAAACTGGGGCTCAGTCACTGGGAGCACTGGGAGCACTGGGAACACTGGGAATGGAGTGCTCAGCACAGCATCCTTCAGGGGAGAACCATAAACCGAGGTTTGCTGTGAGCAGGGGCACTGGGAGCACTGGGAACACTGGGAATGGGGTGCTCAGCACAGCATCCTTCAGGGGAGAACCATAAACAGAGGTTTGCTGTGAGCAGGGGCACTGGGAGCACTGGGAACGCCGGGAATGGGGTCCCCAGGCCCTCAGCAGCGCCAGCGCTGGGCAGCCACAGACGGAGGGGAAGCGATTTCTCATTCCAAATCCAATTCCTCTCCAACACGAGCCGATTTTTCTCTCCCTCTTTTAATTCAGTCACTCAAGCTGACAGCTACACTGTGTACCGCAGCCCGGCTACAGGATTGCTCTGCCATATTCCCCCTGTAAATCTCCCGGCGTGTCAGCTCTCCCTTTCACTCTCCAGTCCGCCTGATAAATATTCATTTTATTGGGGTATTTTTCATTTCTCTCTCTCTCTCTCTCTCTCTCTGCAGCTCGTTCCCCTCATTGGCTTCATCAGCGTGGGCCTGGGCAGCGCAGTGCTGTACCTGCTGCGGCTGGCACTGTACAGCCCAGACGTCAGGTACGCCTTGGGGTGCCCTGGCAGCCCCGGGGCGCCCCTCGGGCTCACCCGCACCCCCAGAGCATGGGGGGCTCGGCCCAGCTGTGGGGGCATGGCCAGACACAGCTGCACGGTGAACCATGGGGGAAATGTGGGTCCGGAGTGCAGGAGGGAAGTTGGGGGGTTGGATCCCCTCTCCTTGGTTCGGGGCGGTGGGAGAAGGGCCCCCCCAGCCCCGTTAGCCGGGTAAGAGGCGAATGTGGCTGATGGGCAGGGGGCAAAGCTGTGGGGAGGGTGGGACTGAGGGAATGGGAGATGGAGGCAGGGAGGGACAGAAAAAAGCGGCAGGGAGGGCTGGGCAGGGGGAGAGGTGTGAGGATGAAACCCAGGAGCGGTTTTGGGAGGGATGGAGGGGTGTGGGGAGGGTGGGATGGTCAGCTGGGTGCATGGGGAAGGGATGGGGAGAGGGAGGAGGGAGGGACAAAAGCAGCGGGGATGGATGAGCAGAGCCAGGTGTGAGGATGGATGGATGGATGGACGGAGGGACGGATGGAAAAAGGGCTGTGGGATCACAAAGGGTGGGTGGGCAGGACAGTTCCACGTGCTGGGGTGACCAGGCTGCTTTCCCCACATCCCCTCCTGCCCCCCACCTCGTTTACTCCCGGTAAAACCACTCCTGGATTTAATCTGGCACCAGATGAGCTCAGCTCCACAATCAGCAGATCCAGACACCTCGGCTTGGAGGGTGGGAGTGCAGGGGGGGATTTTGGGAGGGAATAACCCCCCACCCCCATCCCCCAAACCCATTCATGCCATGAAACAGCTCCAGGGGGGCTGTGCTTGCAGCACGGCCCCCCCTCCATCCCCCAACACGCACACAAACATCTTCCCAGATGGAAAATTCTGCTCTTGGCCGGCAGCAGTGGGACGGGGGGGATGGAAAAGGGGGGGCAGCAGGAGCTGCTCTCCCCAGGGACCCCATCCCACGGCCCCGCTGGCCTCCCACAGCCCCTCCCGGGACAGGACGGGATGGGGCCACTTTGGAAAGGCTTCCAGGAGAACTGGGGATGCTGGTGGTGGGGCTGGGGGCGCGCTGGGGGGGCTCCAGTGGGGTGGGGGGGTTGTCCCCCACTCCCGCCAGGCACCGATGTCCCTGTCACCCCTCGCAGCTGGGACCGGAAGAATAATCCTGAACCCTGGAATAAGCTGAGCCCCACAGACCAGTACAAAGTGAGCACTGGGCGAACTGGGGGGGCTGGCAATGTGTGCGGGGGGGAGGCAGCCACATTTAGGGCAAAACACAGAATTTTCCTCAGGATGGGGAAAGGGGGATCGCTCCTGGAGCAGAGCCCCCCCCCCCCCAAATCCTTGTGCTTGAATTTGGGGAAGGGGCACTGTGTGACAGCGAGGCCAGGCTGCAGTGACAGGGGACAGGAGGCCACGAGCCCCCCTGACCTCCCCCCTTCTCCAGTTCCTGGCAGTTTCCACTGACTACAAGAACCTCAAAAAGGACCGTCCCAGCTTCTGAGCCACCTCTGGGACCTGCTGGGGTGGAGGGGGAGACCCCCACCCTGCCCCAAAACAGCTCCCGAGCTCCAGCACAGCTCCCACAGCACCCCCAAACCGTGTGGTCGTGTCCCACCCCCCCAAATAAACCACATCCCTGCGGATGCCCCCGCACCCCTCACCCCGTGCCTGCTTTAAACTCAGCACAGGAATAAATTATGGGGTGGGGGGCAGCAAACTGGGTCCTTTATGGTTCCCCAGAATGTGGGGGAGACAGCAAACTGGATCCTTTATGATTTCCCAGAACCTGGAGAGTGGGAAAGGCACCAAACTGGATTCTTTATGATTTCCCAGAGCCTGGAGAGTGGAAAGGGGAGCAAACTGGATTCCTTATGGTTCCCCAGAACCTGGAGAGTGGAAAGGGCACCAAACTGGATCCTTTATGGTTCCCCAGAATGTGGGGGAGACAGCAAACTGGATTCTTTATGGTTCCCAGAGCCTGGGAAGGGGAGCAAACTGGATCCTTTATGGTTTCCCAGAGCCTGGAGAGTGGGAAGGGCACCAAACCGGATCCTTTATGATTTCCCAGAACCTGGGAAGGGCAGCAAACCGGATTCTTTATGGTTCCCAGAGCCTGGGAAGGGCACCAAACTGGATTTTTTATCATTTCCCAGAGCCTGGAGAGTGGGAAGGGCACCAAACCGGATTCTTTACGGTTCCCCCGAGCCCCGAGCACGGAGATGCTCTGTCCCCCGGGAGCGCTGGGCCGGGGGGGCTCTCACATCCCGCTGGAAGCAGGACAAGCCCTCGGGTGCTGTTTCCGCTCTCCCACGCTCCAGGGTCCCCTCCCAGCCCCTCTGGAGAGGGAAGGAGCTGCGAGGGGTGGAGGGGTCACACCCACAAGTGTCAGTGACGTTCTGGAGCGGCGGGCACCCTCTGGGATAGGTGGCATGGGACAGAGCCCGGGTGGGCACCAGGCAGAGGAGGGGATACCCCCAGGCTGTCCCCTCACTGCACCCCACACGTTCCAGCGCTCAGCATCACCCCCTGCCCTCAGAACCCCTGGGGGAAGCACCAGGACGGGGACACTGAGGCACGAGGGGCGCCCCATGGAGCTGCCCCCAGCACCCCTGTGCCCCCCAGCACAGCACCCACACACCTCCAGGCTCTGCACCCCCTTTTATTAGCAACCCCTCCCCGTAGAAAAGTGCAAGATGAGGCTGGAGAAGCCCAAGCAGGATCTGGGGGTTCTCTGTACCCCAACACTGACAGCAGGATGGGTGATCGCCGCCCCCACCCCAGGGACGCAGCACCCAAAGGTGAGCACGGGGGAGAAGGGGAGGGGGAGAGGCCGAGGGTGGGTCTCAGCCTCTCTGTGCCCCCCCAGCGACCCCAGCCTGGCAGGGGGGGTGCCCCTCTCCCCTCAGTGGTCGCTGAAGCCGGGCATGGGGAAGGCACGGGCGAAGGTCTCGACGCGCTGGCGCAGCTCCCGCAGGCGCTGCTGCGTCTCCGGGTCCTGCAGCAGGAAGGTCTTGAAGTCCTGGAGCTTACCTGGGGGAAATGGGGGGCACAAGTGAGCCCCAGGGCAGTGCCAGCCCTGCCCAGGTACCCACAAGGGGAGAAAGGCACCCAGGAAAAGGGAAATGGGGGCAGAGGGGCCCCCCAATCCTCACTGGTTTTGCTCTTGACGTCCAGGGCCAGAGCGATGCCCTCGTCGATGAACTCCACGACCTTCTGGAAATCCTCCTCGCGGAACTGGCGGGAGGTCAGCGCGGGGGCACCTGGGCACAGAGCCCATCAGGGGCAGGGCCACTGGGGGGGCACCGGCCCCACAAGGGGCTCCCGGGCTCCCAGCCCCACAAGGAGCTCCCTGAATTCCAGCCCCACAAGGAGCTCCCTGAATTCCAGCCCCACAAGGAGCTCCCTGAATCCCAGCCCCACAAGGGGCTCCCTGAATCCCAGCCCCACAAGGAGCTCTCTGTGTCCCAGCCCCACAAGGAGCTCCCTGAATCCCAGCCCCACAAGGGGCTCCCGGGCTCCCAGCCCCACAAGGAGCTCCCTGAATCCCAGCCCCACAAGGAGCTCCCTGAATCCCAGCCCCACAAGGGGCCCCCTCGGTCCAAGCCCCTCACTGTGGCTCCCCAAGAGGACCCCCAAGTTCTGGTCCCTATGGGGTCCTGCCCCCTTTCCCAGCCAAAACCAGCTCTGAATTCCCACTCAGAGAAGGGTGACACGGAGTGGGGCTGCTGTGGGGTGAAGCCCCACCCCAGGGCTGGGTTCGGGCAGGGCCTGTCCCTCACCGAGGCGCAGCCCCCCGGGTGTCAGCGCGCTCCTGTCCCCCGGACACGTGTTCTTGTTGGTGGTGATGGAGACGAGCTCCAGCACCCGCTCTGCCCGCGCCCCGTCGATGCCCTTGGGCCGCAGGTCCACCAGCACCAGGTGGTTGTCGGTGCCACCTGAGGGACAAAGGAGAGGGGTGAGGATGCCTGAGCACCCCCAGACCCCTCTGCCACCCCTTTCCTGCTCTGCAGTGCTGCCTCTGGTCTGCTTCACCCCCAATCCCCCCACACATCCCACCACTGCCCTGAGACCGAGCAGAGTCACCCGTCCCCACCACGGCTCAACCCTCCATGACCCCAAAAACAGCGGGGTCAGAGCATCACCTGACACCAGGGTGTGCTTCATCCCCACCATGGCTCATCCAGCTTTGTCCCCAAAACCAGCAGGACCAGAGCATCACCTGACACCAGGGTGTGCTTCATCCCCATCATGGCTCATCCAGCCTTGTCCCCAAAACCAGCAGGGTCAGAGCATCACCTGACACCAGGGTGTACCCCCGCTGCAGCAGCGCCTGTGCCATGGCCTTGGCGTTCCTCAGCACCTGCTGGCAGTACTCCTGGAACGCTGGGGAGCTGGCCTGGAGAGGGGGACACCCCATCAGCACAGCGGGGACAGGGCACCCCCTGCCCCGAGCCCCCCGGCCCGCCACAGACCTGTTTGAGTGCCACAGCCACGGCAGCAATGGTGTGGTTGTGGGGTCCCCCCTGCAGGGAGGGGAAGACGGAGAAGTTGATCCTGTCCTCCAGGTCGTAGAGGGTCTCCTTGCCCGTCTTCTTATCCACGGAGCGCACGCCCTTGCGGTAGAAGATCAACCCCGACCTGGTGGCAAGGGCGTCGTCACCTCTCCTGGCCGGGGGACAGCACCCCCGTGCCCACGGCCGCAGCACCCCCGTGCCCACGGCCACAGCACCCCCATGCCCACGGCCACAGCCCCGTGCCCACGGCCACAGCCCCGTGCCCACGGCCACAGCACCCCCGTGCCCACAGCCACAGCCCCCCCGTGCCCACGGCCACAGCCCCGTGCCCACGGCCACAGCACCCCTGTGCCCACGGCCACAGCACCCCCGTGCCCACAGCCACAGCACCCCCGTGCCCATGGCCACACCCCCGTGCCCACGGCCACAGCACCCCTGTGCCCACGGCCACAGCACCCCCGTGCCCATGGCCACACCCCCGTGCCCACGGCCACAGCCCCGTGCCCACGGCCACAGCCCCGTGCCCACGGCCACAGCCCCGTGCCCACGGCCACAGCCCCGTGCCCACGGCCACAGCACCCCCGTGCCCACAGCCACAGCACCCCCGTGCCCACGGCGACAGCCCCGTGCCCATGGCCACAGCACCCCCGTGCCCACAGCCACAGCCCCATGCCCACGGCCACAGCACCCCCGTGCCCACGGCCACAGCCCCGTGCCCACGGCCACAGTCCCGTGCCCACGGCCACAGCACCCCTGTGCCCACAGCCACAGCCCCGTGCCCACAGCCACAGCACCCCCGTGCCCACGGCCACAGCACCCCCGTGCCCACGGCCACAGCCCCGTGCCCACAGCCACAGCACCCCTGTGCCCACGGCCACAGCCCCGTGCCCACGGCCACAGCCCCGTGCCCACGGCCACAGCCCCCCCGTGCCCACGGCCACAGCCCCCCCGTGCCCACGGCCACAGCCCCGTGCCCACGGCCACAGCCCCGTGCCCACGGCCACAGCCCCCCCGTGCCCACGGCCACAGCCCCGTGCCCACAGCCACAGCACCCCCGTGCCCACGGCCACAGCCCCCCCGTGCCCACGGCCACAGCCCCCCCGTGCCCACGGCCACAGCCCCGTGCCCACGGCCACAGCACCCCCGTGCCCACGGCCACAGCCCTGTGCCCACGGCCACAGCCCCCCCGTGCCCACGGCCACAGCCCCGTGCCCACGGCCACAGCCCCGTGCCCACAGCCACAGCCCCGTGCCCACAGCCACAGCCCCCCCGTGCCCACGGCCACAGCCCCGTGCCCACGGCCCAGCCCCGTGCCAGGGCTCTCACCTGGCGCCGCGCAGGGTCTTGTGCGTGGTGCTGGTGACCACGTCCGCGTGCTCGAAGGGTGACGGGATGGCCTTGGCCGCCACCAGCCCGCTGATGTGCGCCATGTCGGCCAGCAGGTAGGCCTTGACCTCCTCGCACACCTGGGGACACCGAGGTCACCTGCCGGTCCCCGCGCCCCGGCCCGGGCCCCCGGACCCCCCACGTACCCTCCTGAGGCGGGCGTAGTCGATGAGGCGCGCGTAGGCGCTGGTGCCCGCGATCAGCAGCCGGGGACGGAAGAGCCGCGCCGTCACCTCCAGCTGCGCGTAGTCGATCAGTCCGGTGGCGGGCTGGGAGGGACAGACGGACAGACGGACAGACAGACAGACCAGTCAGCCCAGGGACAGACAGACAGACAGATTGGTCAGTCCAGGGACAGACAGACAGACAGGTCAGCCCAGGGACGGACAGACAGACTGGTCAGCCCAGGGACAGACAGACAGACAGATTGGTCAGTTAGTCCAGAAATGGAGAGCCAGCTTGGTCAGGCTGGGAATGGAGAAACGGCTGGACAGACAGATGGACAGACAGATGGACAGAGAGCTGGACAGACAGATGGACAGACAGATGGACAGACAGATGGACAGACAGCTCGTGGAGGAGCCCCTCTGCCCTGAGCACAGCATGTCCACCTGAGCCCCGGGCACCTCCCCTGGCACTGGGACACGGACGGGAGGGAGGGCAGGGGTTTGACAGAGCAGCTCAGACACCCTGGGGACACGTCGGGGACACCTTGGGGACACCTCAGGGCTCCCCTCCCCCCCAGCTCACATCAAGCTTGTAGGGCATCGACTCGAAGAAGATGGAGGTGGCCGAGATCCTCTTGGCGTCGGTCATGTAGCCGTGCGTGAGGCTGCGGGGAGGCACGGGGTGAGGCCGGGACCCCCGGGGGGCACCGGGCCCCACATCCCCCCCGGCCCCCCACGTACTGGCCCCCGTCGGGCAGGTCCAGCCCCATCAGGCGCTCGTGGGGCTGCAGCAGGGCCGTGTAGGCGGCGAAGTTGGCCGGGGAGCCCGAGTAGGGCTGGACGTTGACGCCCCAGCGCGCCGGGTCCAGGTCGAAGGCTTCCAGCGCCCGCCGCTCGCACAGCAGCTCCAGCTGGTCCACCACCTCGGCCCCCCCGTAGTACCTGGGGACAGCACGGGGGTCACCGGGGGTCCCCGCCGCCAGCCCGGCCCCACGGGAGACTTGGCGCAGAGGGCAGCCCCCAGTGATGCCCCAGGTTTTAGTTTTCCTGTTTCAGATTCTTTATGTTTCAGATTCTTTATGTTTCAGATGCTGAGACTCAAGTTATGATACCTCAGGTTTTAGTTTCTCTACGTTTCAGATTATTTATGTTTAAAACACTGAGATTCAAGTTATGATACCTCAGGTTTTAGTTTTCCTGTTTCAAATTCTTTATGTTTCAGATGCTGAGATTCACGTCATGATACCTCAGGATTTAGTTTCTCTACGTTTCAGATTCTTATGTTTCAGATTCTTTATGTTTCAGACGCTGAGATTCATGTTATGATGCCTCAGGTTTTTGGTTTTTTACGTTTCATATCCTGTGCTGCTTTACTCTGCCTGGGCTTCATATGAGGGGATGGTGAGCGCTGTTCACAGAGCAGGCAGACAAAACAATTCCTTCTCTAGCTGGGGACCAGGGACAAAAGAGCCAAATCTCTGCCCAAGAGCAGAAACAACGTGGGTTAAAGAGAGAAAAACAAGAAGGATGGGACTGGATAAGCTAAAGCTATAATTGGACAATTAACCCCAATGTGCAAAAGGACCAAAACTTACAGAAGTGACAGACCCCGTGACCAGGCATCCATTTTTTGCCCATTTTGGGTTCATTTTGGGTTCATCTTGTGACTATTTTGGGCTCACCTGGGGTGTAGCCCTGACTGGCCTCTTGTGCTGCTCAAGGTGGATCCATTGAGGCCTCCTAATAAATCCCGAATTTATTCTTTAGCTCAGTCTGTTCTAGGTCAGCATCAGCAGCGGGGAGCCCCCAGCCCTGCCCTGGGGCTCCCTGGATGTCTCCTGCAGCCGAACCCCAGTGCCCCCCAGCCCCCTCCCCACTTTACCTCTTGCCAGGATACCCCTCCGAGTATTTGTTGTTGAGGCAGGAGCCCAGGGCCTCCAGCGCCGCCCGGCTGCAGAAATTCTGGGGGGGAAATGGATGGGAATGGGAGCAGCCGAACCCCCAAAGCTGGGGGTCCCCCAGCCCCGACCCCGCCCCTGCCCACGCCCCCCGGGCCCACCTCAGAGGCGATCAGCTCCAGCCCCCGGCACTGCCGATCCTTCTCCTTCTGCACCAGGCTCCAGATTTCGGGGTCACTCTCGGCCAGGCTCTCCTGCCCCGTCCAGCCGGGGACGTGCCCGCTGCTGGCGGCGGCGGCGGCGGGGCCGTGCTGTGCCCGCCGGCTGCCCGTGCCCACCCGGGCCCCCCATCGCTGCAGGGTCTGCACAGAGAGGGGGGCACGAGCCGTGACCCCCAGAGCCCCCGGAGCCCATCCCAGGACCCAGAGGTGACGGTGGCAGGAACAACAACCCCAGGATCCATCTCCAGCCACCGGGGTCACCCTGCAAGGTGGGAGCATGGGGACCCCAGGGACCCTACAGGGTGTATGGGGACCCCAAAGGGCACATGGGGACCCCAAAGGGCACATGGGGACCCCAAGGATCCTATAGGGCACATGGGGACCCCAAAGGGCACATAAGGACCCTAAGGATCCCATAGGGCACATGGGGACCCCAAGGATCCTATAGGGTGCATGAGGACCCCAAAGGGCACATGGGGACCCCAAGGATCCTATAGGGCACATGGGGACCCCAAGGATCCCATGGGGTGCATGGGGACCCCAAAGGGCACATGGGGACCCGAGGATCCTATAGGGCACATGGGGACCCCAAGGATCCTATAGGGCACATGGGGACCCCAAGGATCCCATGGGACACATGGGGACCCCAAAGGGCACATGGGGACCTCATGGATCCCATAGGGCACATGGGGACCCCGAGGATCCCATGGGGTGCATGGGGACCCCAAAGAACCCCTAGGGGCCCACGGGGACCCCAAGGACCCCATGGGGCACATGGAGACTCCAAGGACCCCAAGGACCCCACGGGGACCCCAAGGACCCCATAAGGTACATGAAGACCCCCTTAAAGTCCTCACAAAGCACACAAGGACCCCCAAAACCCCAAAAGCAGCCGGGGACGCCCCCCAGGCTGAGGCGCACAGCGGGACTCTCACCCATGGGACCCCCCCCGGTTGTACCCGGTGGTTTTGGGGGGACACCCGTGGGACCCCCCCGGTTGTACCCGGTGCCGGGTGATGTAAGCGCAGCCGCCCCATTGCATCACCCGCGGGCAGCGGGCACCGGACACGGGCCAAGGCCGGTGGCGGGGCTGTCCCGGCCCCGGGGACTTTGGGACGGACACAAAGTCCGCGGGGGTGGGCGCGGGGGGGGGGGGAACCGGGCCGGGGTAGGGGGGGGAACACAACACCGGGATGGGGGTCCCGGTGTCCAGCCGGGGGCGAGGAGGAGGAGCGGGATGGAATTGAGACCCCCGGGGGCGATGGAGGGTGGGGGAAGGGGGGCACCGGGGGGAACCGGGGGGCACCGGGGGCACCGGGACACCCCCCCCCCCGGCGGCGGGGACCGGGACCCCCCCCGCCGGGGAGCGGGAGCCCTGCGCCACCGGGGCTGCAGCACCCTGCGGGCACCGGGACCCCTCCGGGCACCGGGACCCCTCCGGGCACCGGGACGTCCCGCACACCGGGAACCCCGGCGGGTACCGGGGCTGTCCCCCCGGGCACCGGGACCCCTCTGAGCACCGGGAGACACCGGGGTAGCAGAACCCAGCGCTCACCGGGGGATGCGGGAACCGGGAATCCTTACCGGGGATCCTTACCGGGGATCCTTACCGGGAACCGGGGACCCCCCCCGCCCCCCGGTGAGAACCGGGCCCCGTTCCCAGCCCCGAGGCTCACCCTGCCCAGGCGGAGCGGCCACATCTCGGTGCGCGCTGCGCGTGGGTCCCGGTCCCGGTCCCGGTTTCGGTCCCGGTCCCGGTCCCGGTCCCGGCCTCCGCCTGGCCCCGCCCCCACGCGCGCGCTGCCGGTGGGGCGGAGCCACCGGGGCCGCGGGGGCCGACGGGAAACGGGAGGTCCGGCACCTCCCCCCCCCCTAATTTTGGGGTTCCCCATCCCTGAACCCCCCATCCCTAATTTTGGGGTCTCCCATCCCTGAACCCCCCATCCCTAATTTTGGGGTCCCCCATCCCTGCACGCCCCATCCCTAATTTGGGGTCCCCCATCCCTGCACCCCCCATCCCTAATTTTGGGGTCCCTGTTCTTGCACCCCCCCATCCCTAATTTTGGGGTCCCCAATCCCTGCACGCCCCCATCCCTAATTTGGGGTCCCCCATCCCTCCCCCCACACCATATCCCACTGTCCCCACCCCTGCCCACCCCCAAACTTGGGGTCTCTCATCCTTGCACCCCCCGATCCGCATTCCGGGGGTCCCGTTTGTTTTCCCAGCTTTTCTTTATTTTCCACTTTTTTTTCCATTTTCATTTTCTTTACAAAAAAACCAAACAAACAAAAAAAAAAAGATGAAGAAGCCGCTCCCCGAGAGGAGGGGGCGGCCCCCCGGGACCCCCCCCCAAAAATCGCATCCCCGAGCTCGGGGGGCTCGGAGGTCTCAGGGAGTGGGGGGGGGGTCCCAGGGGGTGGGGCCGGGACCCCAGCACCAGTTACACCCAATGGGTGGGGGGGGGATGGAGTTTCAGTGGGTGGGGGGGTCCCAGGGGGCTCGGGGGGCTCGGGGATGGGGGGTCCCAGGGGGTGGGGGGGGTCTCAGTGGGTCTGGGGGGGTCTCAGTGGGTCTGGGGGGGTCTCAGTGGGTGGGGGTCCAGGATTCCCAGCGCAGGCAGTGCTGCAATGATGGGGTGTCAGTGGGGCAGGGGGCTGGGACCCCCCCAAAACAGGTGTACCCCAAAATGGGGGCTGCTGTGATGGGGTCTCAGGGGGAGGAGGGGACCCCCAGGATCAGGTGTACCCCAATGTTGGGCCTCAGGAGGTGGAGGGGACCCCCAGGATCAGGTGTACCCCAATGATGGGTCTCAGGGGAGGAGGGGACCCCCAGGATCAGGTGTACCCCAATGATGGGTCTCAGGAGGTGGAGGGGACCCCCAGGATCAGGTGTACCCCTGGAATAGGTTTCAGGGGGTGGAGGGGACCCCCAGGATCAGGTGTACCCCAATAATGGGTCTCAGGAGGTGGAGGGGACCCCCAGGATCAGGTGTACCCCAATGATGGGTCTCAGGGGGAGGAGGGGACCCCAGGATCAGGTGTACCCCAATGATGGGTCTCAGGGGGAGGAGGGGACCCCCAGGATCAGGTGTACCCCAATGATGGGTCTCAGGGGAGGAGGGGACCCCAGGATCAGGTGTACCCCAATGATGGGTCTCAGGGGAGGAGGGGACCCCCAGGATCAGGTGTACCCCAGGGATGGGTCTCTGTGTGGGGGTCCAGGACCCCCAGCACCAGCCCTACCCCAGTGCTGTAGCGATGGGATGTCACTGGGGGGGAATGGGACCCTCAGCACCGGCTCCACCCCAGCGTGGGGCACTCAGTGATGGGGTCTCGGGGGGGGGCTGGGACCCCCAGAACCGCCTGTACCCCATTGCTGCGGGGATGGGAACTGCAACCCCCAGACCCAAGTGAATCCCGGCGATGGGATGGCATCGGGTGGGCTCCAGGACCCCCAGCACCATCTGTCCCACAACCCAGCCCAGAGGGACGAAGAGGGGGTGCCAGGGGACCCCAATGATGTCCCCAACCGCCCCCCAGCACGGCGCCCTCAGCCGAAATAGGGATTGTCGTGCTGGAAGTTGTAGTCGGGACAGACCTTCTGCACCAGCTTGTAGTCGAAGCTGAGGAAGGAGATGAAGATGCAGATGACCTTGAAGGGCTTGGCGCACAGCCAGGCCGCGTGGCTCTGCGTGTGCTCGCTGAAGCACACCTTGGACGGGTCGTACAGACACGGTTTGTTCTTCCGCGCCCGGTTCGTCTTCTCGTACTCCACGTGGCAGTTGAGCCCCTTGGCCGGGCGCCCCTCGGGCAGGGTGCTCTGCTGGGGAGGGGGCGCTGGCTGCAGCAGAGTTGGGGGGCCGGGCACCAGCACCTCGAAACCCACCGCCTTGGAGGGGGGCACGATGCTGACGGAGACGTTGCCCAGGCTGGAGGAGTTGTGTCGGAAGTAGACGCTGAAGGTGCCATTGATGTGGTCGACGATTTTCCCCGTCACCAGGAGGCTGAACTTGAGCGTCTTGATGTTGAAGTAGAAGTCGCCCCAACCGAAAATCTTCTTGCTGCGGCTCGATTTGAGGGTGGGCTTGCGGTGGGCGCGGGGGCTCAGCAGCTCCCCGGTTGTCTGGTTCTTCTGCCAGTCCCAAGGGCTCCGGCCGGTGCCCACCGGTGCCCCCACGCCCCGGGCGGGCTCTGCCGGGATCAGCCGCCCGGGCTCCAGCGCTGGGGGCTTCAGGGTGCCGTAGGGGACATCCTTGAGGAGGCCTGAGGTGCCCATCTCCAGGTACCCCAAGGTTTTGGGGACGTGACCGCCAGCACACACCGTCTGGGGAGAGGGCGGAGAGGGTGTGAGCTGTGCCTGTGGCCTTCCTCATCCTCTGCCTGCTCCCTCCTCATCCTCCTGTGTGCACCCTCCTCATCCTCCTGTGTGCACCCTCCTCATCCTCCTGTGTGCACCCTCCTCATCCTCTGCCTTCACCCTCCTCATCCTCCTGTGTGCACCCTCCTCATCCCTTTGCCTTCACCTTCCTCATCCCTCTGCCTGCTCCCTTCTCATCCTCCTACCTACAGCCTCCTCCTCATTCCTCTGCCATACCCTGCTCATCCTCCTGTGTGCACCCTCCTCATCCTCCTACCTACAGCCCCCTCCTCATCCTCTGCCTGCTCCCTCCTCATCCTCCTGTGTGCTCCCTCCTCCTCCTCCTCCTCCTGGCACCAGCAGCAGCTGGGCTGGCACCACACCAGCCCCTTCCCGGGGCTCCCCGCTCATCTGCTGGGACGGACCCCAGCGAGCAGAGCCAGATGCCGACCCCCCTAGCCTGGGACCTCAACTCTGACACGTCCCCCTGTCCCTCATCCCCCTGCCCACCTGCCCCCCGTGCCCCCATCCCTCATCCTGCTGCCCCGCCGTGCCCGCTGTGCCCTCCTGCCCTGCCAGCTGCTCTGGCACGCTCGGCCAGCCCCGGCCTCGTCAATCATTGTCACCCTGAGCTGGCAGGGCCTTGGCTGCTCTGTGTGACCTGGATCCCGGGAGGAGCGAGGAGGGGGAGTGGGGAGGGGGTGGTGAGGGGGGGCGCCAGCTGGAGGGGCTGGGGGGAGCGTGGGGGGCTGCGCTCTCACGGGAAGGTGAGGCACACCCCTGGAGTGGCTCCTGTCATTGCTGGGGGCTCATCCTGGCATCACTCAGCCTACAGAACGGCTCAATGCCATCTCCTGCTTGGCAATGATCCCCACTGGGAATGGCAGGGGTGCCATGAGCCCCACTGGGAATGGCAGGGGTGCCATGAGCCCCACTGGGAATGGCAGGGGTGCCATGAGCCCCACCAGAGAGGGGTGAGCCCCCCCGGCCCCTCCTCCATGGCTGGCTCTGTCTCAGGGCAGGGTCTCCCTGCAGAGATGGAGCAGCAGCACGAGGGGGGTGCAGGCAGGGACCTCCACACCTTCTGCCGAGCCAGGGGCTCCATCGGATCCATCCCTGGGATCCCCCAAACTGACTCTAAATCTGCTCTGGTTGTGCTGCACCAGAGGAACCCTGAGCAGGGGAACCCAGGCTCCATTGGATCCATCCCTGGGATCCCCCAAACTGACTCTAAATCTGCTCTGCTTGTGCTGCACCAGAGCAAGGAACCCTGGGCAGGGCGTGCAGCCCCGTCACGTCCTTGGGGAGGGGATTTGGGGGGTTTCAGCCCGTCAAAGGGGGTCAGGGTGAGCGGTGCAGAGCTGCAGCTCAGCCCTGCACCCCCAGCCCGGCCAGCCCCCCGCTCCCCCCGGCTCTTTCCCAGCTCGGCTGCTGCCTTCGCCCTTATCTATATTTCAGCACAGCTTCAAAGCCGGGCGCCTTCTCCAGCCGGAGCGGGGGGCAGGGCCGGGGTGGGGAGATAACGAGGGGAGAGGGGCACCCCCAGCCCAGGGAGCTGCGGTTTTGGGAGAGGGGCGGTGTCCGCACCCCAACTCCGCTCTGTCTCTGCATCCGTCAGCCTCGGGACCCCTCACACCCCACTGGGACCCCTCAGCTGGGAGCCCCCCAAATCCTTCTGCACCCACAGCGGCGCATCCTGCTGAGCCCCCACCGCCAGTAAGGATTTCTGGAGCTTTCCGAGCTCTGCGCTGGATCTCCACCTCAGCCAGGGCGGGGAGCCAAGGCTGGGCCCCAGCAGTGCCGCAGGTGCCCGTGCCCTTCCTCCCCTGCCTCAGTTTCCCTTTCCATCCCCCCTCTCCACGACTCCGTGAAGGGTGGGGGGGGGTGGTGGGGTTGGATTGGAAGAGGCTGCGATGGGAATTGCTGGAGGGACCGGGAAGGGACAGGGAAGGGACAGGGATGGGGAGGGAAGGGAAGGGAAGGGAAGGGAAGGGAAGGGAAGGGAAGGGAAGGGAAGGGAAGGGAAGGGAAGGGAAGGGAAGGGAAGGGAAGGGAAGGGAAGGGAAGGGAAGGGAAGGGAAGGGAAGGGAAGGGAAGGGAAGGGAAGGGAAGGGAAGGGAAGGGAAGGGAAGGGAAGGGAAGGGAAGGGAAGGGAAGGGAAGGGAAGGGAAGGGAAGGGAAGGGATGGGACAGGGATGGGACAGGGATGGGACAGGGATGGGACAGGGATGGGACAGGGATGGGACAGGGATGGGACAGGGATGGGCAGGCAGTGGGAGGGGATGCAGTGGCAGCAGAGGGGCACAGACACTGGCAGCAGAGGGGCACAGACACTGGCAGCAGAGGGGCACAGACACTGGCAGCAGAGGGGGACAGACCCTGGCAGCGCCTGCTGCGCTCCTGGGGCTGCGGATGCCCAGGCCAGGCTGGCACGGGACAGAGCCGGGCGCTGGGGGGCACAGTCCGGGCACAGACAGAGCAAACATCCCCCACCCCTGCAGGACTAGAGGCACCCCAGCCCCTGCGGGATTGGCAGCACCCCCCAACCCCTCCAGTCCCTGGGCAGGAGCTGCTGGGGGAGCGGGGGATGAAAGGGAATTGCAGAGCAGGGCAGCGCTGCGCTGCAGCCAGCCCGATCGATCGCGGGGGGACCCTCCGCTGCCCGGGGGGCTCAGAGCCCGCGGGGATCGGCGGGGCCCGGGATGAGCTGCGGCCACGGCAGCGCCGAGGGGAGCCAAGGGCACCTCCCGCGCCCCGGCAGCGCTGTCGGCATTCAGGGCAGGTCCCGAACAGCTCGCGGTAAATATTAATGCTGCTGCTGTGCCATAGGGGTGCAGCCGCACACGGGCCCCTGAACCCACTGGACGTGCCCCTGAAACTCATGGATGTGCCCCTGAACCCCCTGGATGTGCCCCTGAACCCCCTGAACGTGCCTCTGAACCTCCTGGAGTGCCCCTGAACCCCCTAGACATGCCCCTGAACCCCCTGGATGTGCCCCTGAACCCCCTGGATGTACCCCTGAACGCCCTGGATGTGCCCCTGCACCCCCTGGACGTGTCCCTGAACCCCCTAGACATGCCCCTGAACCCCCTGGATGTGCCCCTGAACCCCCTGGATGTGCCCCTGAAACCCCTGGACGTGCCCCTGAACCCCCTGGATGTGCCCCCGAACCCCCTGGACGTGCCCCTGAACCCCCTGGAGTGCCCCTGAACCCCCTGGATGTGCCCCTGAACCCCCTGGACGTGCCCCTGAACCCCCTGGAGTGCCCCTGAACCCCCTGGATGTGCCCCTGAACCCCCTGGACGTGCCCCTGAACCCCCTGGATTGCCCCTGAACCTCCTCAAGTGCCCCTGAACCCCCTGGACATGTCCCTGAACCCCCTGGATGTGCCCCTGAACCCTCTGGAGTGCCCCTGAACCCCCTGGATGTGCCCCTGAACCTCCTGGAGTGCCCCTGAACCCCCTGGATGTGCCCCTGAACACCTGGATTGCCCCTGAACCCTCTGGAGTGCCCCTGAACCCCCTGGACGTGCCCCTGAACCCCCTGGACATGCATTGTGGGTGCACAGGGGGGTCCCAGTGCTGACCCCTCCCGCCCTGCTCTCCCCAGGAGCCATGGCCGGTGCCAGGCAGGGCCGTGCCAGGCTCTGTGGTGTGAGGAGCTCTGCTGCCACACGGGTTACCTGAGATGGTTGTTTTTCACTGTCACATGCACCGCTGGGTCTGCACATCCCTGCTGCTCCCCTCCTCATCCCCTTCCCTGTGCTCCTCCTCATCCTCATCCTCATCAGGATCCCCACAGCATCATTCCACGGTTCAGCTGCTCCCAAGCCCCTCGTGTGCCCGTCTGTAGCTGTGGGGGGCTGCGGGCACCGTGTGCCACCCCCGGGCAGCGCGGGGAGCCGGGCCAGGATGCGGGAAGGGACCGGGAAGGGCTGGAGGCGGCTGAGAGGGACCGGGAAGGGCTGGAGGCGGCTGCAGAGGGACCGGGAAGGGCTGGAGGCAGCTGCAGAGGGACCAGGAAGGGCTGCAGAGGGACCGGGAAGGGCTGGAGGGGCTGCAGAGGGACCGGGAAGGGCTGGAGGCAGCTGCAGAGGGACCGGGAAGGCTCTCGGTGGTGCCGGCATCAATTTGGTTTGTCAGGCCCGGCAGTGATGGCCACTCACATCCCATTTGCTGCTGGGGCCAAGCGCCGTCAGCTGCTCCCCCGAGACCCTCGGTCACCTTGGTGGAGGGGAGAGGAGCAGAGAGGGGGGGGACAGGGGGCCTGGCTGCTCCGGTGTGGGTTGGGATGAGCTCCAGCACCCCGAGAGAGGGGTGGGAAGGATGGGGTACGGGCCCGAGGCTGAACAGCCCCTCCAGTACTGAGGGAGGAGCAGAGCACCCCAACACCCCCAGCAAAGGTCTCATCTCCACCACCAGCCTGGCGCTGGCCCAGGCGTGTCCCCATCTCTGCTGCCAACCTATTTCCATTCCTACGGCCAGCCTGTCCCTGTCCCCAAGGCCAGTCTGTCTCCATGCCCACCACCAGCCTGTCCCCATTAATGCCACCATCACGCTGTCCCCATTAATACCACCACCCTGTCCCCATTATTACCACCACCCTGTCCCCATTATTACCACCAGCCTGTCCCTATTAATGCCACCAGCCTGTCCCCATTATTACCACCACCCTGTCCCCATTAATACCACCAGCCTGTCCCCATTAATGCCACCACCCTGTCCCCATTAATGCCACCACCCTGTCCCCATTAATACCACCACCCTGTCCCTATTAATGCCACCACCCTGTCCCCATTATTACCACCAGCCTGTCCCCATCCCTGTCCCCAGCCTGTCCCCATCCCTGTCCCCATCCTGTCCCCATCCTGTCCCCACACCTCGGCAGGGTCCCCAGCAGCACGTACCCTGCTCCACTGCTCGGGGTTCTCCTGCTCTCCCCATGGGCACAGGGTCATCCCAACCTCT